GTGTTTGCACATATGTGCCTCAAATCCTGACAGGGTGGAGAAATGGAGGAAGAAGGATTATTGTGGTTAATAGGATGCTTTCTCTTTCTCTCTTTCTGTTTCTGGTAAGTGTACCCACACTGTGGCAATAAAAAATAAAACAAAACCAAAACCCAACCAACAAACAAAACCACACTTGTAAATTTTTTGTTATGCTCTTGAGTGTCACTTATAATTTGGCAGACTTAATACAGAGGTGGCATTGAGGAAAACTATTTTTCCTCATATATCTTTATTTGAGTCACTTAAGCAATTCCTACTTCTCTGTAAAGGAAGAATATGGTCAGGATGCTCGCAAAGAAAACAGAAGGGACTTTATTCCGAGACTGACTTTACTGAGAGTCGGTAAAAGTGATTCAGTGGGGTATGCTGTCCCTTGCCACTCAGGTCTTGTTCCTCCTTGGCATAGAGTGAGGTGTTTAGAAAACCATGCTTTTCATCTATGGGGATCAAAGGAGAACATGCTCAAAATTTGTACAAGTGGCTCTACCAAGAGCTGCTTTGAGCCTAATACACTTCAAAGGTTTTAATTGTGCCCAGAGAAAGGTTCCATGTGAGCACTTAGGGATACCATCCAAATAATTATTACCAAACATGTTTAACTTAGGAAAAACTGACCTTACCTGCTGAAATGTGGTTAAAGAATAGTGAAAGGATATTTGATTTCTCCATGGTCATCTGTTTACTTGAATCTAAGATTCAGGCATAATTAGATGAATCCAACCACTGTATGGGCTTCAACTGAATTTAATATTTCAACTCTTTGAAAATAATAATTATATCACTAAAGCAAAGGATCCTATAGTTCTAGTCCCAGAACTGATGGCTTGCTTTCTCACTCTCCTCCTTTCTCTCTCTCTGTCTTTCTCTAGTAAAACTTATATAAAGAAAAGGGAGCAGCAATTGGCATAAAGGCTATGTCACTGGACTCCCAATAGTCAACCATGGTTCAAGTTCCAGATCCGGTGGCTAAAACTCACGCCAGACACATGTGCGTGCATGCCCAAGATTCCAAGAGGAGAATGGAGGAGAAGGGATTGCGGCGTGGCAATCAACCCCCTGGGGGGTTGATTTCCTTTTTTCTGTCTGTCTGTCTGTCTCTGTCTTTCTGGCGAGCTCACGTGCCCTATAGCAAAAACCTCTCCCCCCAAAAATATAAATAAATAAATACTCTTTTTAAAAAAGATAAAGGTACTAAACAGACTATGAAATGAAATTTTATTTATTTTTAAAGATTTTTCCAGAGGGCATGTGTGCTCACTAGAGACAGACAGTATGGGGAAAGAGCGAAAGCATCCTCCATGGAGCATGGTCATGTCTCAGCTCCTTCTTTTCCATCTTTCTTCCTGTTGGAATTTTGGGCATGCACATGTGCACACTCTCCCAGAGTGTTTTTCAAGCCTCTGGGTCTGAGACTTGAATCATGCTGTCAGCCATGTGTGATCTAGTTGCTTTAACACCAGATCATGGACTGGCCCTATAAATCAGATTAAAAAAAAAAAAGTTTATTTTTCTTCTGGAGACACAGCCAAATATAGATTGTTCCAGCTATCTTAGAATAAGAGCCACATTTTTTTTTGTAGCTTTGGCATCTCAGGGACACTTTCTTGGGAAAAGTAGTTCTGTAACTTTGTTCAGAGGAAGTTAGATCTGAATGCTCAGAGTTTCTGGAATTTCATTGGTCTTTTTATAAATTTTGAATCAAAGCCCTAGGATGCTAGGGCACTTGATGTTGGTTTTGGGGATTTATCTTGATGTCTTTTGACTGTTAGCCTTGTCAGATCAGTGCAGAATGAATCAGAACACAGATATGTAGAGTCACCTGATGGGCCAGACTGGCTCTCAGGTCTGTTGGACTTGATCGTAACCTGCTGGAATGTGAAAATTGTGTCAGTCGGAGCAGATCAGAGGTTATCATCCCTGAGGAAGTGCAGGGGATGCACTCACTGAGCAAAAGTTGGCAATCAGTTGGCCTCTGTGATGGCCGTTTCTCATAGTAGAGCAGTGAATGACACTTTAATGACCTCAGTCCTGTGTGAGTTTTCGTCTTCTTGAGCTATTTCTCAGGACTGGAATAGAAATAGAATAAGCAAAGTCTGGTAACTCAAATGTATACCACGAGGCTAGGATAACTTGGTGTTTCCCAATTGAATAAATTCTTGGTCGCAAGGCTGTCAAAACAGAAGACCAAAGTTCCATCTGGCCTTCTTTTTTAAAATGACACTCCTGTATCATACCTAGCTTCATTCTTCTTGTTTTTTGTTGTTGTTTTTGTTTATTTTTTTAATTTGCCAGAAGGTTCCTGCACTCTCTGGAGAGAGAAAGAGAAAGTGAGACAGCACCCCCTATGGGGAAGGTCACCCTTCAATTCCTTCTTCAATTCTCTCTCCATTAGGGAGTTTTGGGCTTGGCATGCACATACCCCCAGCATGTTTTCTCAAGTTTCTGGGTGTGGGACTCGAACTGTGCATTCAGCCATATCGGACCCAGCTGCCTTACCCACCATGCCACGAGATGGCCCTATCCATTTTATTTTATTTGTAGATTTTATTTGCCTGCCTTTACCTCACTTATCCATTGTCCTTTTTTTTTTTTCCAGAGATCTTTGCTTTATAGGGGACATGTGCTCACTGAAAAGACAAAGAGACAGAAAACAAGAAATCATCCTCTTGGGAGATGGCCATACCACAATCCTTTCTCCTCCATTGTCCTCTTGGGTTTTGGGCACGCATGCACACGTGCCTGGTGTGATTTTAAAGCCACTGGGTCTAGGACTCGAACAACATTTGGCCATGTGGGGGTCCAGTGCCTTAACTACTACATCACCTGCTGGCCCCACTCATTCACTTCCCTAAAGCAGCCGAGACACTGTACAAGATGTACAGAAGAGTTTAGTTTTGAGTACTGATAGAATTAGAAAGGATTCTGTTATAATTCAGGACCCTCTCACCCCTCTAGGCTTTTAAATGATATACAATTGTTTTTTGGAGAGGTTTTTGCTATAGGGTGCGTGCGTTCACCAGAAAGACAGAGAGACAGAGAGATAGAAAGCGAGAAATCACCCCTCTGGGGGGATGGCCACACTGCAATCCCTTCTCCTCCATTCTCCTCTTGGGATCTTGGGCTTGTATGCACACACACGCCTGGCATGAGTTTTAGCTATTGGGTCTGGGACTTGATCTGCAATCAACTATGTGGGAGTCCAGCGACATAGCCGTAATGTCAACCTCTGGTCCCAAATGATATAAAACTATAATAAAAGTTCCCTGAAGAAATGATTGCTGTTCCCATGATTGTCCTTAAAAAGTGGAAGTAGTATTCTGTAAGAGATGGAAGGAAAGGTAAAGTGTGCAAGATAACAATTCGGGACCAAAAATTAGGAGTTTGCCACTTCCTTTCTTCAAGTTTTCCTTCTCCAGTTTGATTCAGTATCTCCAGCTCTTTTCTCTCAATTGTAGTTGGGTTTGAGTAGGATTGGAAGCTGTGATGTGAAAATGGTAGGGATTGGGAACCAGCAGTTAGCGTAATGGCTATGTCGCTGGATTCCCACGTAGTCGACCGCAGTTCGTGTCCCGGACCCGGTGGCTTAAAACTCACGCCGGGCACGTGTGCGTGCGTGCCCAAGATCCCGAGAGGAGAATGGAGGAGAAGGGATTGCGGCGTGACCATCCCCCCTGGGGGGGATTTCTCGCTTTCTGTCTCTATGTCTCTCTCTGTCTGTCTGGCGAGCGCACGCGCCCTACAGTGAAAATCTCTCCAAAAAAAAAAAAAAAAAAAAGGTGGGGATTAAGAGGAACTTTGAAGATTAGCTAGGGTAGCAATTTTTACATTTTTTCACTAGTGTACTTCAGTGTTCTAGGATGTGAGCCACTGTCTGGTTTGGGAACATGTGCCAGAGTGACTCAATGCAAACCTAAAACAATTTAGTCTCAGTTTTAGCTTAAAAATCATGAAGGAAATATCATGGGTAATTTATATTATTTAAATTATTTTTTTCTTTTTTAGATTTTTGACATAGGGTATGTCCTTACTGGAGAGATAGAGAGATGCAGAGAGAGAGAAAGTGAGAAATCACCGACCCAGGGGGGATAGCCATGCCACAACCTCTTTTCCTCCAAGGATTTTGGGCACATACGTACATGTGCTTAGCGTGTCCCTCGGGTTGCCGGTCCAGGACTTGAACTGTGAAGTTGTCCATGTGGGATCCAGAGCCCTAACCATTATGCCACTTGCTGTCCCAGGGCAATTTATATTCTTTTTTCTTTTTTTTTTTGGAGAGGTTTTTGCTATAGGGCACGTGTGCTCACCAGAAAGACAGAGAGAGAGAAAACGAGAAATCACCCCCCAGGGGGGATGACCACGCTGCAATCCCTTCTCCTCCATTCTCCTCTCGGGATCTTGGGCACGCACGCACATGCACCCGGCGTGAGTTTAAGCCACTGGATCCAGGACTCGAACTGAGGTCGACTACATGGGAGTCTAGCGACATAGCCATTACACCAACTGCTGGTCCCTATATTCGTATAGTGAATAAAAAGGTTTTGTTTTGTTTGTTCTTTTTGAAAAAGATTTCTAGTTTTGCACAGCTGCCATAACATTTTCATATACTGCCCATGTACTGTCATTGATCAGAAATGGATCTTAATGTGTCATCCTCTTATAACATAGGGTTATAGTCTACCTCTGTGAGAACTGAATGATGTTACAGTAGATGAAAATCACTTTACAAAGCATAAGATGCCATTAATGTGAAGTGTTTTTTTTTTTTTTGCTTTTAATCTTAATAGTTTTTATGACTTTAATCCTTTAAGATTTAAATCTTAAGCCCAAGTGAAAAATTAATAGGGAAGACAGTGCTAGGAGGTAGGGCCAGAGGCTCCTTAGCTTTGACTTTCTTTGACATGGTCAGGATCAGGTGCAACAAAGTTAACTGATCATTGTCATAATTGATGCCCTTGCAGGAGGGAGCACTGGCAGTTGCTGGGTAATTTGAAGACTACTGTGGAGGGTTTGGTGTCAGCCAACAGCCCCAACGTTTGGTCCAAGTATGGTGGCCTGGAGCGGCTTTGCAGGGACATGCAGAGCATCCTCTATCATGGGCTCATCCATGACCAGGTATGTAAAACCCTTTTTTCAGTTCCCTTTTCACAGGAAGCAGTTGCGTTAGGTTGGTTGTGAGCCTTTTTTTTTTTGGGGGGGGGGGGTTTGGTTTTAGGCTTTTGCCATAGAGCATGTTTGCTTGCCAGAGAGAGAGACAGAGAGATAGAGGGGAAGTAAGAAATCATTCCCAACAGAGACGGTCATGCTGCAGTCTCTTCTCCTACCTTCGCCTCCTGGAGTTTTAGGCATGCATGCACACATGCCTGGGCATAAGTTTCAAGCTGCTGGGTCTGGGATTCGAACCACAGTTGGCCATGTTGGAGTCTAGTGCCTTAAGCACCACTCCACCTCCTAGTCTCATTTTTCTTTTCTTTCTTTTTTTTCTTTCTTTTTTTCTTTTCTTTCTTTATTTTTTTGTCATGTGCTCACTCAAGAGAGACAGTGAGAAGGAAGTTAAAAAATCACCCCCACCCAGGGGAATGCTCATGCTGCAGTTTCTCCTCCTTTCTCCTCTTGGGACTTTGGGCATGCACTCATACGCATCTGGTGTGATTTTCAAGCTGCCAGGTCCAGGACTCAAACTGTGGTTGGCCATGTGGGGGTCCAGCAACTGAAACACCATGCCACCTGCTGGCTCTGGTTCCTGAGCTTTTGAGAGCAGGACTGTGACTTAATACATTTATTTGTATCTGAAATATTTCACTTAGTACCTAATACACCATAGATGTCAATGGAATGGATAATTTTCTGGGTAGAACAGCAAGTCAGGATCAAGTGTTTAAGTTAGTTTATTAGTTTCCTATTGCTTCTGTAACAAATGATTATAAACTTAAAGACATCAATCAGCACGTATTTATTACTTTACAATTTTTTTTTTGAGAGAAATTTTTTTCTATAGGACACTTGAGAGACAAGTGAGAAATCACCCTCTGAGGAGCTGGCTATGCCACAATCCCTTTTCCTTCATTCTCCCATTTCCTTTATTTTCCTCTCAGAATTTTGTGCATCCACACACACACATGCCTGGCCTTAGTTTCAAGTTGCTGGGTCCAAGACGTAAACCACAGTCCAGTCCACGTGGGGTCCAGCGCCTTAACCACTGCACCACCTGCTGGCCCCCCAATTACCTTACAATTCTTGAGATCAGAAGTACCAAATGGGTTTCCTAGGTTGCAACCAAGTTGCAGGGCTGTACTCCTTCTGGGAACTCTACCTTTCCTTGCCTTCCCCAGCTTCTATAGCATTATTTCTTGTAGTTTTTGGCTTTTGGCCCTGCCCTCCATCTCAAAGCCAGCAGCATGACATTTTGGAATCATTGCTTTTATATCATCTTCTCTCCCTATGATCTATCCTACCTCCCTCCTGGAAGAACCCTTGTAATTACAGTGGGCCTACCAGAGCAATCCAGCATAATCCTCCCATCTCAAGATCCTTCATTTAATCGAATCTACAAAGTCCCTTTGGCCATAGGTTCTAGGAATTTGTGGTTGGGCATCTTGGAGGATCACTTTTAGCCATCCACAGTTGGGCAACAGTTTCTTTTGAATCTTAGTTTTGGTTTAAAGTCATACCCCCCCCCCCTTTTTTTAAATGGATTTTAGCTATAGGGTGTGCACACTCCCTGAGAGAAAGAAAGAGAAAGTGAGAAATCACTCTAGGGGCATGACCATGCTGCAACTCCTTCTCCTCCGTTCTTCTCTCGGTATTTTGGGCACATACATGTATGCACAATCACACCTGGCATGATGCTCAAGCTTCTGGGGCCAGGACTTGAACTGTGATTGGCCATGTGGGAGTCCAGCACCTTAACCACTATGGCACGTACTGGCCCCAAGTCATGCCATTTTGAAAAAATAGCTAGAATAAAGGAAGAAAAAGAACCAAGGCAAAAACACATTAATCCGTCTCTGACTTTCATTCAGAAAATATTTCTACAGAGAAAGGTGAAAGTCCACGTGATCAGTTGCATTAAATGTACTTTGCTTTGGATTATCAATCCTTTTGCCTAGAAGCCAGTGTGACCAAGTGATAGTTAATTGCTTAGGCTTGATAAAGTTGATGTATTTAGAATTAGTGTTTGTTTCCTCATGCAAACTCATCAATTCTTCCTCTGATTCTCTTCAAATTAGAATTTTCACCTTGTTGACTAAGTTTAGATTTTTGTTGTTATCTTTACTTCAAATTATTGATAGGGAGAAAAAATTAGATGTTTTCTTTGCAGGGGTAATGAGAATTCATCCTCAAAATACATGTGAGAACTCTAGCAAGTACAGAAGTGACTAGTGAAAACAAGAAGTGAAAAGAAGTGAGGAGGGTTAACATGAGTAGTTAATAGGTGGTTTCCAATTACATGTAGTTTTATAAAAAAAAAAATTAAGAACATTGGAATTTGCAAAGCAAATAAGTTAACCCACTAAAATGTTATTTCTGTCTTTACCACTGGTGATCTTGCATTAGCAGTTTAAATAAAATGATGTTCATGTTGCCAAATATAGTGAATATTTCTCCTTTGGACATTGCTTTATGTTCACCACTGTTGACCAACGTCGTATCTTTTATTTATTTATTTATTATTATTTTTAAAATTTAACCAGAGAGGAAAAAAGTGAGGAGAGAGAAAGACAAAGTGAGAAAGCAAGGAACCCACCAGGTCGGACTCAAACTGTGGCCAGCCATGTGGGAGTCCAGCACCCTTAACCACCAGGCCACCTCCCGGCTCCAACCATCATCATATCTTGACTCGTATGACATTATCTTCTGGTGTCACAGGGATATTGTCCTACTCCTTCCTTCCTTCCTTCCTGCTTGCCTGCCTGCCTGCCTGCCAGAGGGTGCTCGACAGAGAGAGAGAAGGAAAAATGAGAAAGAATGGCCCATGGGGAATGGTCACACAGCAATCTATTCTTCTCCATTTTTCCCCTCCATTCAGGATTTTGGACATGCCCAACATACCCAACATGTTTTTCAAGCCATCAAGTCTAGGACTTAAACCATGAGGCCGGCCATTGGGAGTTAGCCACCTTAATCACCACACCATAGACTGGCCCTGTCTTACTTTGACCTCAGTTTCTTTTATTGGAATTTCTTCTTCATGGGTTTTTATTTTTATTTTTTTAATTCTCCAGAGGGAACATGCACTCAGCAGGGAGAAAGAGGGAGAGGGAGAAAGTGCCTCCCCACCCCCAGTGGGGCATAGTCATGTTACAATCCCCTCTTCTCCATTTCTACATCCTTTAGGGATTTTAGGCATACACATACACATGCTCAGCATATTTTTCAAGCTGCTAGTGCCAGGATTCAGACCAGAGGGTTGGCCATGCAGGGACTGGTTCCTTTAACCACGAGGCTATGGTACCAGCCTGGATGATGATGATGATGATGATTTTAGGTGGGATTTTGTAGTATGCCCTTATCTTTTCTTACTCTGTACATTTTCCTAAAACTATCTCATCTACTTGCATTTCTTTAAAGAATTATTTATTTATTCATTTATTTATTTTCATTTGACCAGAGAGAGATAGAGAGACAGAGAGAGAGGGAAAGTGGGAAAGCAAGCCACCTGGTCTGACACTCAAACCGTGGTTGGCCATGTGGGAGTGTCCAACACCTTAACCACCACGCCACCCACTGGTCCCCTACTTGCATTTTTAAAAAACTATCATTCATACACTGAGGACCATTCCACCTTAGACATTTCTGCTGACGTCTAGATTAGAAGACTAGCTGTCTGTGACTCATTTTCTGACTCTCCTCCTGCAGCCCAACCAAAGATTATCAAAGCCAAACTTATTTTCTTTCATGAGATCACCCTTCCTCTTGATACTCTGTACTACTTTGTGGCATTGGTCTGCTCAGTGTCCTAAGCCAAAAACGTGAGTTGTGTCAACATGTTTTACAAAAACTCAGCGCAAGTTTCCCAGACTGATGACCAAAGTAGCTCCCAGAGTAGGGGTGCTGGCATTCAGTGGTTGAATTACTCCTGTGTTGATAGCACATGGGTTCTTTTCTTGGCCCTGTTGCTCATTTCACATTGTCATTTAGCGTAGTCACTTAACCATGTTAGACAGTTTTGCCATCTGTGCAAGGAAGAGGAGATGTGTCATGATGAATTAGTAATGTCTGTGAGATTCTTAAATGAAAGATGTTTGGTGAATGAAATGCTATTAACATATCTTGTTGTAGCTATTGAAGGTAATAATATCTGTGAAAGCACAGATAACATGTCTTGTTATAGCTTTTTAATAATATCTGTGAATATCTGTGCATTCACAGATATTCTGATTATCAGAATGAAAAACGCCAAAGTGTATGGTCACTTGCAAAGCAGCAGTAATGTTAATACGTGGAAGCAGAGCCAACCAGGAGAATCTGACATATTCACACACACACAGCAACCACAAGCTCTAGTGGAAAGAATGAAAAACAAAAGACCTAAGCCAATTTCATTGCTGCTTTGATCTGTCTGGTAGAAATCTGAGAATTAAAGCCTGTGTCAAGAACTCGTTTTACTCTTTCGGTTTCCTCCCTAAAGATTAAGGCTTTCAAAGGTTTCAGGCTACACGTCATTAGGAAGCTATTCTGGGTGTTGTACCCTTGCAGGGAGGGGAAGGATACCATGATTCATGCTGGCCGTATCTCCTCTGTGCTTTCATAAGGATGTGTTATGGAATGTGAGGATTTTATTTTTTGGCTACTCAGGGCCTTAGGAAGGTTGTAACATCATACCTCATGACCATATTTTTAGAGAGATCTCATCCAGTCTTCCTTTTAGACCTTTCATAAAGAGAGGCACATTCTGCTGCTTAGATTTGTGAAGACACTCTGTTCCTGAGGTTGCTCGTGGAAGTGAAAGGATACCTTACTTTCCACTAAGAAGAAACCTGTTTTTGCAATATGACTACCCAACTTAAAAAATAACAATGAAGGAAAAAGACCTCTGTGGTATTTTCCTTGACATTTTTATTTGCTGGAAATTTGGTAAAGAAGTAAATATCTCTCATAATCTTTTTTTCTTTTAATTGCCAGAGGACACACTTGCTCTTTAGAGGTGTGGGCGAGAAAGCACCCCCACAACGGGGCCTAGTCACGCTGCCATCTCTTTTCCTTCGGTTCTCTATCCCATCAGAGTTTTAGGCATGTGTGCACACACCACACACATACACACACACACATATAACTTTTTTTTTTTTCCAACATAGTTTGCAAACTGGCAGGATTTGAACCATGGTTGGCTGTGTGGGATTCAACTCCCTTAAACGCTGTGCGATGGCGTCAGCTCTCTCTCGTATTGACACGAATAACAACCATTCTTTAACATTTTGGTAGGTTTTTATTTTTTTTTCTTTGCCTGAGGATATGTGTGCTTACTGGAGAGAGAGAGAGAGAAGGAGAGAGAGAGAGGGAGAGAGAGAGGAAGTGAGAAAGCACTAGGACTAGCAGATGGCGTAATGATTACTTTGCTGGACTCCTACATGGCCAATTACAGTTCAAGTCCCAAACCCTGAAGCTTAAAACTCATACCATGCATGTGTGCATGAATGCCCAAGATCCTGAGAGGAGAATGGAGGAGAAGGGATTGCAGTGTGGCCATCCCCCACCAGGGGATGGTTTCTTGCTTTCTGTCTCTCTAACTCTCTGTCTCTCTGGTGAGCGCACATGCCTTATAACAAAATATCTCTCTTAAAAATAAATAAATATTTAAAAAAGAGAAAGCATTCCCCATGGGGTACAGCCAAGTCACAATCCCTTCTTCTCCATTTTTTCCTCCTTTCAGGATTTTAGGCATACATACACTTAGGCCTAGCAAGGTTTTTTAAACCACTGGGTCTGAGACATTACACAGTTGGCCATTGGGATCCAGCTTCATTAACCAGCAGGATATAGGCTAGCCCTTTGGTAGATTTTTTATTTTTATTTTTGAAAGAATTATTTATTTATTTAATTACATTTGTTATTACCTTTTTAAAGAATTATTTTATTTAACTTTATTTACTTATTTGCTTATTTTAATTTGACCAGAGAGGGACAGAGAGAGAAAGTGAGAAAGCAAGCTGCCAGGTCCAGGACTTGAACCATGGTTGGCCTTGTGGGAGTCCAGTGCCCTTAATCACCATGCCACCTGCTGGCCCTTGTAGATTTTTTAATGCTTTTTTTTTTCTGTGTATTAATATGATTTTTAAAAATTAAGATTATACTATGTGTGTGTGTATCACTCTAACTTGCTTTAAGAACATTCCATTTTTTTTAATAGATATACATGGTTGAAAAATAAAGCATAATACCATATACATTGGAAAGTCTTGTTCTTTTCTGATCCCATAGGTAACGACTGTTAGTAGTTTCGTTCCAAATAACTTTTATGCTCGTAGAAATAAATACAAATACTTTACTTTGTTATACCTCCTGGATTTTTATATAAATAACAGCATACTGTGGGCCTGCTCTGAAACGCCTCATGCTGCTCACAGGAGGCACATGTGCTGCACAGGAGAAGCTGAGTCCCACAGAACCACTGTGTTTTGAACCCCCAGCTCAGTCAGTCTAGTACACCAGATATGCATGTAGGCGCACAGAATCCAGCGTGCTGGAAGCCTGGAGGAAGGGGATTATGGTGTGGACAGACCCTGTTGAGGGGATAGGTCTCTCTCTCATTATCATATGTGTGCACATACATGCTCTATCATGAATTTAAAAAAATTCAAAAATTCAATATTCTTACTTTTCCCCTTGGTGGATGTATAGTTTCTTTTTTCATAGTTAAATCTTTGATCCAGCTGAAATTTATGTTGGTATGTTGGGTTGAGAACACCTGATAAATCTACTTAACTAGCCAGTTTTCTCAACAAAATTTCTTGAATAATTCATTTATTTTCCAATGTATTTTTTTTAACAAATAAAAAACATCATTTATTAAAGGGCTTAACTTAACCTAAAATTTTGCCTGAAGTAGGGAGACTCATTTTAGATGCTGGTCACTTAAAAGTGACGTAACCAGGAGATATGTCTGAGTCAGTATCCCTCTGTTGCCAATCCCTGGTCACTCAGTGGTCACCAGCCAGACTGCCAACTGCTGCCAGAGTACTACAGGTCTTCACGATGTTAATTGCCAAAAAATTAGGTATGTCTGACACTTGGCAATTTTCATTTCTACCTTCCCAGTCTAGGTGAGTTCCACTGGCTTTTGAGATGTGTTATGGGTATAAAATTTTGACTTAAAAAAATATTTCTAGGGACCAGCAGGTGGCATGGTGCCTAAGGCACTGGACACTCCCACATGGATGACCACGGTTCAAGTCCTGGACCTGGTGGCTTGCTTTCTCTTTCTCCCTCTTTGTGTGTGTCTCTCTAGTCAAATTAAACGTAAATGAATTAATAAATAAAGTTAAATAAATAACTCTTTTAAAAAATTTCTATAGGGTGTGTGCACTAATGGGGGGGGAGGGAGCGAGCATGTGTGCACACATGAGAGAGGTGAGAGGCACCCTCTGGGGAGATAGCCACACCACACTCTCTTCTCAGTTCTCCTTTCAGGATTTTGGGCATGCATGCATATGCACCTGGTGTGTTTGTCAAGCCATCTGGTCCAGGACTAGAATTGTGCATTCAACCATATGGGACCCAGTTGCCACACCACTGGCTGGCCCCCAAGTTTTGATATATTTTCTAGGCTTTTTATTTTGTTCTATCAACTGGTTTATCTCTTGATACTTGTGCAAGTTCTTTTTTTTTTTTTTTTTTAGGATATTTTATTGGACTTTATTTCTTTCTTTATCTTATTTATCTTAATTTGACCAGAGAAGAACAGAAGAACAGAGTGATAGAGAAAGAGAGAAAGTGAGAAAGCAAGCCACCAGGTCCAGGACTCAAACCACAGTTGGCCATGGGGGAGTCCAGCACCTTTAACCACCACGCCACCTGCAGACCCCCGATAATTGTGCCAGTTCTATATTTTAAAAAACAGTTTAGATTTCAATTTTAACCCCTGCCCAGTAATCTCAGAAAAGATTCTCAGGAAACAACAATTATGTTTCTGTAATATAAACATTTTGCTACTATGTTCAGGCCTCATCTAGTGTGAGACCATTTGTCAAGCACTGAACATTTCTTTTGTTTTTAAATACAGCCCTTTCCTGACCTGGGTAGCAGGGGAAAGCAGTTGTTTCCTTATTTGGTTTTGCTTCTAGTGGGAACTAAAGACATCTGTCTCCAGCTTTCAGCAATAAGTCTTTACCACTTTTAAGAATTACCTTTTAGGAAATTGAGTGGAGAGAAAGGTATAGATAGAAAACAGAATTTTTTTCACTATGTGTCTTCTATATCATATGTATGAATTACCTGTTCAAAAGAACAAGAAATTGATTTTTAGTAGTTATTCTTTAAAAGGACAAACATCTGCATGTATTCCTTTGATTACTATTGAGTATCTTTGTTGAAGCAAGCGAGGTTTATGCTCTTTTTTTTTTCCTCCCTTCGAATGTCAACACTAGAACTAGGGTTGGTCCAAACTGGTAGTGTTTTGCTCACTTCATGCATTCCCTCAGCAGGTGTGTTGCCGCCAGGCTGATTACTGGCAATTTGTGAAAGATATCCGGTGGCTCAGCCCCCACTCAGCTCTTCATGTGGAGAAGGTAAGAGTGAAAGGAGAGGCAGGTGAGGGTGTAACTGTAAGTCTTTGTTCTGTGGTGTTCTTTCTGCAGAGGCTCTCAGACTAGAATGGAGTGTGTCAAGTTTCCCATTAACTGAGGAAATGACATTATCCTTGCTGAACTGACTTGGAGGGGAGAGTGATTTGCTTTAAAAAAGTAAACCCTGGGGAACCAGCAGTTAGTGTAATGGCTATGTCGCTGGACTCCCACGTAGTCGACCGTGGTTCGCGTCCTGGACCCGGTGGCTTAAAACTCACGCCGGACACGTGTGCGTACGTGCTCAAGATCCCGAGAGGAGAATGGAGGAGAAGGGATTGCGGCGTGACCATCCCCCCTGGGGGGTGATTTCTCGCTTTCTGTCTCTATGTCTCTCTCTGTCTGTCTGGCGAGCGCACGCGCCCTATAGCGGG